CTGATGCCCAGAAGTATTAAAACAAAAATTTTTTTTACATGAAATATAGATGTAGTACATAAACAATACAGTGGGAAATGATGAATGAAACATTAAGAGCATAACACTTACCTTTATTGGCGATTCTTCTTAGCGTATGGAAGACTGGAGGAGGAGAGATATTGGATTAGTTACTGTTTGGAAGGGGAATCCCCTTCCATCAACACCTCAGGTACCAAGTTCTTTTCTGGGGTTACTTCTCTCTGTTTCTTAATGCCACTAGGGCCAGCTTGAGAGTCATTGGAGTCCTGTCTCGCAAAAAAAGTGTCCAGAAAGCTCTGTTTCTGGCGTCTCTTTAAAGCTTCCCTAAAATGGGCCAAGACTCTGTCACTGTACAAGTTGCCGATATGGCTTGCAACATCCTTCTCAGGGTGATGTTTCTCCATAAATCTTTCCATCCTACCCCACATTTCAAAAATCTCCTTAATTTGTGAAGAAGGCACCTTCCATCTCTCTTCCTCCTCTGCAGCAAGATTCTGAGCTGCGATCTGTTGCTATTCCTGCTGAAGCTTTTGCAGCTCCTCAGTGGTTAGCTCTTCATTGTGGTCCTCCACCAACTCTTCCACATCCTCCAAACTCGCATCCAACCCCATGGAACTCCCCAATGCCACAATAGAGTTCACAACTGACATAGGCTCATCAGGGTCAGCCACAAACCCTTCAAAATCCCTCGTGGACACAATCTGGCCACAATTTTCTCCAAGCAGAGTTCAAAGTCCTGGTAGTCACTCCCTCCCAAGCCTTACCTATAAGGCTTATGCAATGGAGGATACTGAAGTGTTCTTTCCAAAAATCTCTTAGGGTCAAGTGAGTGTCTGAGGTCACATTAAAGCACCTTTGAAACATTGCTTTGGTGTCGAGTTTTTTAAAGTTTGAAATGACCTGCTGGTCCATGGGCTGGAGGAGAGGAGTAGCATTTGGGGGCAAGAACTTTACTGTGATGAACCCAAACTCCTGCAGAATTAGGTCATCCAAGTTTGGAGGATGAGCAGGTGCATTGTCTATTACTAGGAAGCACTTGAGATCCAATTTCTTTTCCAGGAGGGCCAAACACTTCATTGAATAACTCGACGAAAATTTCCCTCGTGACCCATGCCTTATTATTAGATCTCCAAAACACACAATTTACTCTTCATAACATTGTTTTTCCTGAACACTTTGGGATTTTCAGAATGGTACACTAGTAACGGCTTCACTTTGAAATCCCCACTAGCATTAGCACAGAACGTGAGCGTCAGCCTGTCTTTCATAGGCTTGTGTCCTGGCAGTCCCTTTTCCTCCTGAGTAATGTAGGTCCTCTTTGGCATTTTCTTCCAAAAGAGGCCTGTTTTGTCACAATTGAACACTTGTTCAGGTTTCAGTCCTTCAGCCTATATGTACTCCTTGAATTCACTTAGGAATTTTGTAGCTGCAATTTTGTCCGAACTGGCAGCCTCACCATGCCTTATTGCACTGTGTATGCCACTACGGTTCTTAAATCTCTCAAACCAACCTTTGCTGGCCTTAAATTCACAAATATCAGTACTCGTTGCAGGCAATTTCTTTATCAGATCATCATGCAACTGCCTAGCCTTTTCACAAATAATCAACATCATAAGACTATCTCCTGCTAATTGTTTCTCGTTTATCCACACCAATAATAACTTCTCAACATCTTCAAGTACTGGTCTCATTTTTGTCAGCATGTTTACCCCCTTTGCAACAACAGCTTCTTGATTTCCTTTTTCTTGGCCATGATGGAATATATGGTTGTGCAGGATTTGTTACACATCCTGACCAGTTCAGCCACACTTACTCCACTTTCATATTGTTTAGTGATGTTTTTTTTTTTTAAATTCAATCATATTTCTCACCTTTACCAAAGGCTTGGCTCTAGGAGCTTTCTTTGGAGCCATGGTAGCTTATTTAGCACTTGCAAGCACTAAAATGAATGAAATATTATGAAATATTTCGTATGAACAAGTGAGGGGACCGTCACTCACTGGTAAACAATGGCACACTGGCTGGGAAGGGAGGCCGAGGCGGCTCAGAGCTGTGAGTACGTGTCCAGGACGAATGACAATTAGAGAGTCAACTGACCATTTACAAGCCAATGTTTGGATGAAAATAACGCGACGATTTCCGAAAAGGACGATTATCGAGGGACCACTGTATATAAAATATGAAGTAACTTGAAAAAAATTGATATTTTCCAGACATAATGGAGAGTTGTGCTCACGGAGAATGTAAACAAACCGGGTGGGGTATGTTGACCATATTAGAAAGTCAGGTGGGGGGGGGGCCGTATAGCGAGTTTTGGTCATAATTTGAAATGTCCCTATTAGTGGAACGCTGTGATGCGAAATGCCATAAAGCGGGGCCCTACTGTACTTAGTTTACACTATATTAAAAATATTCAGTAATTCAAAATAAAATTCTAATACAAATTACTAAAGATGAAGCTAGTTACGTGAATTGTTACAAAATATGAGACATGCCTGTCTAGTAATAAATGAGAGTTGAAGGAAGGATGGCAAGAACAGGGACAGTATTGGATGAAAGACACAGTTTCAGAATTGGTGTAGCATAAATTGTTAGAATCGCATTAAGGAGCTTTTTAACAGTAGCTTTCAAGTGGTTGGTAGATAGGGAGCCTCTGGAATCTTCAGGCAGTGTGTTACAGATTTTAGGTCCTTATGTACACAATGTGTTTTTACCAAGGTTGAGTCGGAGTTGAGATATGGGAGGAAGTGTAAAATAAACCCAGTGAGAAGCAGGGGTGTGGTGGGGACAATAAGGGAACACTCAACATCTGGGATCTTACCATAAGATACCAGAAACACGGCCGGAACAAGTGAAGAAACCTTTAAGAGGAAACTGGACAAGTATCTTCACGAGGTGCCAGATCAACCAGGCTATGATGGATATGGGTATCAGGCAACAACAGCCTGGTTGACCAGGCAAGCACCAGACTAGCTTGGCCCTTGGCCGGGCTGTAAGAGTAGTGAAACTCTCGAAACTCTTCAAAGGTATATGGGGAATATCATAGAGGATTTTGTGTCTGGTATTATGCCTATGAGTTCTGTTGCAGCTATCAAGAAAGAGTTTAAGGGTAGGATTAATTTAAAATTGATTGTCCAGTATATGTAGTATGCATTGTAGTATGAGTAAATTTTATGTATATTAAGCATGTTTCATCTTTTGAAGAGTGGGGAGTTTGTTTCCTGGTATTAGACTGGATAATCATTTTCACAGCTGCTTTTTTGTTAAGTTATTGGCCTTAGGTGATATGCTGTAGTTGATGACCAGGAACAAATAGCATAGGTGATGTAAGAATAGATTAGTATACGTTACGTATGGCTGTTTGAGGTACATAGTGGCAAGACTGCTAAAGACTGGCTGCTTGTGAATGTTTCGACTTCTCTGAGTCCCCCTTCCCTAGTGGGATATGGGTGGTGTTGCTAAAAAAAAGGATGAATGAGAAGATATTTGCTTTAACCCTTTGAGGGTTTTGGTCGTACTAGTACGTCTTACGCGTAGGGGTTTTTGACGTACTAGTACTCATAAATTCTAGCGGCCTCAAATCTAGTGGGAGAAAGCTGGTAGGCCTTCATATGAAAGAATGGGTCTATGTGGTCAGTGTGCACAGTCTAACAAAAATCCTGCAGCACACAGTGTATAATGAGAAAAAAAAAACTTTGACCATTTTTTTTTTAATAAATCAGCGACTTTGCAGTGTATTTTCGTATGGTATTTATTGTTGTATTCTAGTTTTCTTGGTCTCATTTTATAGAATGGAAGACATATTACAGAAATTAAGATGATTTTGACTGGTTTTACAATGAAAGGTGCCTTGAAATTGAGCTCAAAGTAGCAGAAATGTTCGATTTTTACCAAACTTCAAAAGTAAACAAATCGTGCCAAGCGTGCAATACACGTCAACTGGTGAGTCTAATATTCTTTCACAAGTGCACCAATAATATTTATACCATTTTTTACACTAATGCAGTAGTCTGCATAACAGTAAATCTTATATTTTTTGTGAAAATAAAAATTCAAAGTGGAAAGCAAAAGAATATAAGAGGAGCCTTGAGACGTGACTAATGACTAGAGGAAATGTCATTTTAGTGCCAGGAATGTCTTGTTTATTCTGGACCCTATTCGGAAATTGGCATCTTTTGAAATTTGTGTGAAATTGGCAAAATTGCTAAATTCTGACCACTGTACTGGATAGTTGAATTTCATAAATGGGTGGTTTCTTGCACCCATTCGATAGAAAAAATGGAGTTCTAGCGAAATATTCATGTTTTTTGTCGACTAGTACAGTGAAATTGGCCGAAAATGGGGCTCAAAGTGGGCAAAAACGCCAATGCGTAAACATCGCCGAGACCCCTAACTTTGCGAGAGCATAATTCCGTAAGTTTTCTATCAAATTTCAAACTTTTGGTGTCTTTATGATCGGGAAAAGATTCTCTATCTTTTCATAAGAGAAAATAATTTTTTTTTTTTAAATTTGGCCGACCCTGAGAACGAGTTTCGGAGGGGGCCTGTCGACCCTCAAAGGGTTAATAGTCTGAATGAGAAATGAGGGATGCCTTCTTACAGTCTTTGAAATTTATTTTGTCCTTTTGTCAAAAACCACCACCTTTGTTCTCTTTAGAAGCTACCTCATGATTACCTTACTAATTTAAAAAAAAAACAAAAAACATTTTATTCTAGTGCAAAAATTATATTTGGAAAAATAAGAATGAGGGTAGGCATAGACCTTGTTAGACAAATCAGTTTTAGCTTTGTAAAAGGTGATAAGCCTACATCTAAAGTAGAATATGCTCCTTTGGTTCAGTAGGAAAGTTAAGGATAAACATGACTAAGGCTAAGGAATATTTTTCATGCTCACTCTCCTTTTGTATTAAAGAAAGCTTGAAAATGTTCTTGAATTTCAATTGAAGTACAAATGTAATGTGTTTTCTCATTAATATTAGGTGCTGGAATCTTTGACTGGTCAGAAGCCAGTGTTCTCCAAGGCACGCTATACTGTGCGCTCCTTTGGCATCCGCCGTAATGAGAAGATAGCAGTCCACTGCACAGTCAGAGGACCCAAGGCAGAAGAGATTTTAGAAAAAGGATTAAAGGTATAGTACCAATAATGTCATTAAAATGAGAAATTGTGTGTACACATTCTCATGAAAGTGCACATTTAGCAATATGTGCACTGTATATGGAGTAGATGTGTAAGATAAGGTTGGAGAAATAATTAGCAGGTTTGGGTTTTCCCCTCTCACTTTCATCTCCTCCTACATGATTAAAAATACAGTAAGTATTCGGGTTAAACTTTTAATACAATTTTTTCTATATTGTATAAATTGCAGTAAAAAAATTGGCAATTTTAAAATCAAAATATTAACATCAGTAAATTCTGGTTTTGAAAAACAGAAATTCCCTGACAACTTTTCCCACTGATCTTTAAAGGTATGGGTATTGTCACAGAAAATATTTTAAAGACACACATACATAATTAAACTGTTTTTTAAATAAAAGGACAAAATGCAACTAATTAAACTAAAACCCCTAAACCAAGGTCCGTGAATATGAGCTCGTCGTGACAAATTCTCCAAAGGAAATTTTGGGGTTTTGGTATTCAGGGCATTTGACTTGGGTTTTAAAAATTGATCCTGCCTTTGGGATTTTGGTTTGGACTTTTTTGTTGTGCTTCAGCGACCAGTAAAATTAACTTTTACTAAAATTTTTTTTTTCTTTCAAGGTTTTTGTGTTCATATTGGTATAAAAAATTACAGTGCCAATTGATACTGAATTTAACAGCCAGTTTTTGCATTATTCCAGGTACCGGGTACAAAAAGACGCCGGGAAACCAGGCAAGATTGGGGCCCCAGCACTGTCTGGCAAGGAGGATGAAACAAGGGTTCCAGACCCAAAAATGAGGGTATTATTCTGCCAGGCAAAAAAAAGTAAAACATGTATTTTAAAAAAAGAAAATAAAAACAGTTTTTTTTAACATGTTTATTAGCGCTTTAAAAAAAAAGGGAGGGGCCATATCTAATATAAGCTTAACCTTTTTTCCTTGGATCAAATTTACACCCCCCCTCTAATCTGCAGGCCGCCTTTTTCCCGGCAAGTGTCTTTGCTTGTGAAAAGCTCTTTGCCATATAATTTTGATGCTTGGATGCAAACCTGATTTCCTCTCATTCCTTGGGTTTTTATGCCTTGTAATTTTTCAGGTCTCATGAATGTTTCACTTAAATTTTTTTAGTGTTTGCTTAATGTAGTAATTGGTATCATTCCTTTGCTATTAAATTTCCTAGTATTAAAAAATTCACTCTTTCTGTCAACCTCTTTTTAAAAGGTAAAGTAAGATTTCAGAGAAACTTAAATACTGTTTATAAAGGGTTTCTTTACCTCAAGGCCTTGTTGAGGGGAATCAACTTCGAATAATATGAGGGAAACTTTTTTTTTGTTTAAGTTTAACACACGTCCCCCCCCCCCCCCCCGGGCCCCCTTTTTTTTTTTTTTTTTTTTTTTTTTTTTTTTTTTTTTTTTTTTTTTTCGTCCGACGTTTGCTAACGCAAAAACTCCCCTTCAAGGGGGGGGCCTTGGCGTGGTGAAGAGGCCCCTTGGTTGAGGAATTAGCCCGTCGGTTTTTTCCTCAGGACCGAACCTAATTACCCCCCATTCTCCCCCCCTATCCATCCCCCCTTTTTCCATTCCCCTCCCCCTCCTCACCCCTCTTTTTTTGGCCTTCGGTTTTTCTCCCACGGGCGATAGTTCCTAGGTGGGGGGAAAGACCCCGGGGCCCATCCCATTCTTTGAGGTTCTTGGCGGTGGCGTAGTTTCCGGGGAAATCTGGATTGCCGGGGGATGTCCCACCCCTCCCCGGGTATCCCGGGGGTAGCTTTGGGTGTTTTTTTGGGCGCGGGTGTATTTGGAAGCCCCCTTTCGGTTTCCCCGGGGGGGTGGTGGCCGAAGGAGGTATGTTTTGGGCGGATTCCGCCGCCCTTTTTTGTCCACCGGGTAGCTGGGCAGATGTGGGGTTTTGCATCCCGGATTGCTGGTTTACGGCATGAAGGGGGTATGGCAGGGTTCCATGCTGCATCTGCGCTACTAGCGTGTTGAGGTCCTTTTGGGGCGCGGGGGAATTTCCCCCTTTATTCCCCGGGAACTATTCCTCCCGCCCCCCCTTTTTTTTTCTTTTTTTTTATTTTTTTTTTTCTTTTCTTTTTTCTTTTTTTTTTAAAAACAAAAAGCAAAGGGAGTACCTAACCATGGCAGCCCTATCCATGAAACCCCTCCCCCCCGGGCCCCCTTTCTTGATACCGCCCCCATTCTGCCCCTGCCTTGTTTTAGCCCCACTCTTCGGCACTCCTGACCCCTGTCCCTCTTGCTGGTGCTTTTTCCTCACCCCTTCAGGACCGGGTTTCGACTGACCCCTCGATTTGTTGACTCTGCTCCCTTTGACATGCTTCCGGCTTCTCCTCACGGTCGGAAAATTTTCGAATCGCCCCCCCCTTTTTCATGCCGGCCAACCCCGGCCCTATCTAAACCCCAATCAATCTCCTGATGAGTCCTTCTTCCCTTCCCTTTTCTACTCGAAAAGACCACACGTCAAGCACCCCTCTCCACTCAGTTTCGGACCACACAATGGACAAAATTTCTTTACTTTAAGACCAACTTTTTTCTTCTCCCACCTTTCGACCATAGTATTGGCAAAGCGTCCGCGCCCCATTTTGGCGGATATTTCATTTTACCTCTCAAGAGGGGTACGCGCATCGCCCCACTGTCCAGAATGCTACCCAAGCTCTGATCTTCCTCCTTTCGAATATCGTACTCCCCTATCACTATTGAAAAACATCTTTCTCTCAAATTTTTTGTATGGTATTCTTCTGCCCCATACCATAGCCAACGAATTTCATTCATGTGGCAATGACATTTTTGAACAGCGGGAACTCCAGGACTCCCAATCCCAAAGAGACACTTTATGTCCTTCCTCCCCGGGGGGCGGAGACGTTACCCTTGCAATGTGGCTCTTTTAACTTTACAGCCGAAACTCCCGTCCTCTGTATATGTGCGGGCATCGGTTACAATTTGAAAGGTGATACCTACACGAAACCCAATGTAAAATTGCGGCTTTTTGGGCACCCAGCGAAATAGCAGACTATGGCCGAAGCCCAGTCTTTGGTCCGACCCTTTTCTAAACATTTTCAGTCAACCTCCATCTTCCCTTAAATTTTTATGAAGCCCCCCTTTCGTACCCCGCCGTTCCCAGGTTATTTAAAATGAACGTGAAATCCGTTGCCCCAAAGGGGCAGAAGGTCCCCCTTATGCAAATGCAGTTATCACTCCGCCTCCAAGGGAGACTACCCCGTGTTTTTTATTCTGGTTTTTCCCAAACACCCCCCTACTTCGGGTACCATCTTCTGCGCCTCCTCTGTTGTTACCCCCCCTACCACTACGGAATCAAATCCTTTTGTTTCCTTGGCTCTGACGCCCCGACTAAAACCCCAGTCGTTCTACATCTCGCGCCTTCCTCACAAGCCCCCAGTACGACAAGACCTCGACGCCCAACTAATACCAATCGCCCCCTACTCAGAAGCCAAAAAATCCACATTGCTCAAATTTCTTTGCCCCTTCCCTTTCCCCCTTCTTCCACCTCCACACTTTACCTTTCCATCTCGTACCTTTTCTTCCCCTCTCTCTGGCTCTATTAAAGTGTGGAGATTCACCCTCCCCTCGTACTATGCCTTCTCCCCCCGTCCCCTCCCAATTTTTCCCCCTCTTTGCCACCTCCCAGGTTTCTGCCCTTCTGTCCCCCCCCACATTTCATCTCCCGTCCTTACACTTTTCCCCCCCCTATTTGGGGTACAGCCCATTACTGCCCCAATCTTTACTCCCCCTCCCCTCCTATCTCCAATAGGTCTCCCAACATTTTTAAATTTTCAAAACCTTGAAGCCTTTTCGAATATTTTTTGCAAACAAAACCCTTTCAATGGACACTGATTCACTTCCTGTTCCTTCCTTCCCTCTCCCCTCTTCACCCCCCCATTCTTCCAAAGCTCCGTTCCTTCGCTATTTGAACTCTTCCAATGCCACCACCGTTGACTTTTCTAACCCCTTAGTCCGTAGGTGCCTTTATAAAATTTCCTATATTTTCTTCATCCCAATCAGGCCTTTTACAGGGAATACCGGGGCCCTCAGGGTAATCGGGGGGGCTTCAGATGTTGTCTCCAGGTTTTCCCCTTTTGGTGTTTGTTACAAGAACCAAATTACACTCGTTTTTTTCCAACCTATCTCGGGCTAAAATTTTTTTTATTTTGGGATCCTTTCTCAGATGGGCCCTTTAATGAAAGTGCCCTTTTCTTCTACGAAATATATTCCGTCTACAACTATTTGTCCATACTCGCTGCATTACACTGCACCCCGTATCCCTTGAATAAGGGTTTACAATATTTCTTTATCTCTCTCTCCTTCTCGACATTTTCTATCCCAACTTTGCCTTTTTTTTTTCATCCTTACCACCACCACTTCTGTTACTTGGTGATTTTAATGCCCACCATTTCCCTTGGGGGGGGGTCCATTGTGACCCCCGTGGCATTCATTTGGAGGTTTTCTCGCCCTCCACCCCCCCCCCTTTTTAAATACGGGTACTCCCACCCATTTTGATCCTTGACCATACTTCTCTTGCCGATCTATCATCTCCCCTTTTCCCCCTCCACGCACTAGACTTCACCGGGTCTGTTCTACCGATTTACTTTCAGCGACATTTTCCGATCATTCTTACTTCTCCTTCCTTTTTCACCCCCTTTCCGTAGCCCTCGCTGGAAATTTGACGGGAAAATTGGGATCTTACTCACACCTCACTCTTTTAGTGATTTTCCTTTCTTCATCCCCTTGATGGCTCCTACACATTTTCTTGACTCATTTTACCGCACTTCTCATTCTATACCCCAAACCTAGGCAGGCATTCTCAAAGTGCTGCCTTGGTGGCTCCTGCTTGTGCCGGCTACTTTGAAACGTGCTGCAGGGGGAAGGGACCCCTACAATAGAACCGCGAGAGACTTGTTGATTTTAAACAGAAGCGGCGATCGTCGCCGTTCACCGTGAAGCTAAACGCACTTGTTTGGGGAACATGTTTTTCCCCCATCACCTCTGCTTCTTCTATGAGTGCAGTCTGGAAAAAATGAGGAAATTTTAGTGGTAAATACTCTCCTGACCCGTCCTGTTCTACGGGGCACTGGTGTTTTAGTAGCAAACCCCCTTTGACTTGCCATTGAACTTGGCACACTCTGGGCCCTATTTCCCGAGGGCCCCTCTATCCCCTCGTTTCTTTTCCCCAAAATCTCCAAGAGTTTGTACCCTTGGACTTTTCTTCTCCAGAGAAGAACATTAAGTCCTTTACACTTCAAGAATGGAGGCAATGCTCTCCTTGCCCATCACGGGATGGGCCTGACGACTTCATATTTTAGTTACAAATTTACATCGGTCAGCCCTTGTAGTCCTCTTTTAAAATCTTCAATCTTTTTTGGGCACAAGGATTTTTTCCCCAGGGGGAAAACTGCCATTTTCTCCCTTTTCCGCAAACCGGGTAAATACAGGACAGATGCCTCCCACTAAGCCCCATCGCTCTTACTATGCAGTTTTTCAAATGATGGGAAGCCTCGTAAATCGACGTTTAAGTGGTATTTTGAGACTCACAACATCTCTCCGCTAGTCAATATGGCTTTCGTAAAGGGGTTTTTTCTACCAAAAACCCCTTACTACGTTTTATACGTTGTTTGTAAAGCCTTTTCGAAAATCACTCGTTATTGCCATATTTTTTGACCTTGAAAGGATATGACACAAATTGGGGGGTATAATTTTTGGCCCCGGCCCATTCCTTAGGCCTCCGAGGCAATCTTCCATCCTTCCTTAAGAAATTTTTTTTAAATGACAGCATTTCCGTTTCGAGTCAATAATTTTTCTTTCCCCGGACTTCGTCCCCGTGAGGTTCCCTCAGGGGGTGTTTAAGCCAACACTTTTTCTCCTTGCATAAATGATTTGGGCCCCGTTCTTCCACCCAAATTTGGTCATCACCCATGTTGATGATTGTATTGCTTGTGCAGGCGCTGACTGTCACCTTATTGCAGTTTCCTCCCATGATGTCGACCGTGTTTCCACTTGGGCCCCCCCAATGGGGTTTTAAAATTTTTTTAAATACCAAAACTCACCAAATTACTTTAAAAGACGCTCGTTTTCTCCGATCATCCTTTGTATCCTAGGCTCCCCTATCCCCGAAAGGATAGTCAGGGTTTTTTGGGCCTTCCTTTGACCCTTTTGGTTATCCTGGAAACCTCACATTTCCCTTGAAGGCAACTTGTCACGCCGGCAAAACCCTTTTTAAAACCCTTGCTCATCTTTCCTGGGAGCTGATCGCGAACTCTCTTCGCTACATTCAGCCCTCGTTTTATCAAACCCCATTATGGTGACCAATTTATTCCAGGCCTTCCTGCTACTCTCCTAGCCTTAAAAACCCATCCATCAACAAGGGTTTCTTGTGCCCCTTTGGTGCTTTTCGCTCTTCCCCGTTTAGACCTCTTACAGAACAAATTTCCATCCTTGTTGTCGCGGATGCCCTTGCCTTCGCTATAAAGTACGCTCTCACGACTACACAAACCCTTTCCCTTTATAGAATGGCACCGATATTAAGACATTCTTAAACTTCGCCGCCCCTGTTTGCTCCCTCCCTTTTTCCCCCCGCCTCATTTTACTCTTTTCTTCCCTTCAGTTACCACCTTTTTTAGTTCATGTGCATCTCACTTTTTTCTACCCCCCTGGGGAAATTCCCCGCTGTTCGGGTCTTTCTTTCTCACTCCCTTGCTCAAAGCTCAACTGCCTAGGTGGGCTTCCCCTTCTTTTTCTTGATCATTCCCCCCCCCCATTCTCATGCCACCGCTGTGTACACAGTGGCTCTAAGTCTTTAGACGGCGTCGGATTCGCAGCAGTGTTTCCGGACGCGTGGCCCGGGGGGATTTTTTACTTTAGCAGCATTTTTACTGCTGAACTGTATGCCATTCTTGCAGCCTTTTTCTATTGATCTATGCCTGTTCATCATTTTTAGTGTCTAGACTCCCTTAGTGCTCTACGGCTATACGAAAATTTGATACACTCATCCCCCCAGTTCTCCCTATCCAACTTTGGCTACCCGTATCTCACCCAAAAATAAAGAATTGTTCTTTGTTGGGTCCCTGGGGAGGGCTTTCAAGGCAAAGACGGCAGACACTGCGCCATCAGCATACGACCCCACCAATTTTCCCATCAGGTGTTCCATTTGGACTATTTGCTGCAAACACCCCCCTTTCCCCCCGTTGGCAACAACGTTGGTCAACTCTGCTCGGTAACAAAAATTTATTCATTAAAAAACCCAGCATATTTTGGCCGTTTCTTGTATCAGGCCCAGGTTGGGGGGACCCCTCCCCCCCTTCGCATTGGGCCCCACTCCTTACTCATGGTACCATGAGGGCCCCTGTTTTTTTTTCCTCTCGTGCATGCAAGTTCCGTATCGATTAAACCCATTCTGTTAGAAAAGCCCTCTCTACAACAGCAGCAGAAATTTTCCCCCCGTCTCGTCTTCGTTCTACTACCTCTCTTTACCTTCCCTTCTTGCTGTTGGCCCTCCTTTAAACCCGACCCCTCATTGCTTCTTGACAACGACTGATTTCTCCCCAAACTCTGAGATCTTTTTTCACCCCCCTCACCCCTTTTCCTGTTCAGTCTCTTTCTGCCCTTTCCCTTTTCCCCCATCCACTGCCCCGCTGTTTTCCGTAACCATTTTCTATCCATCTCCCTTTTGCACCTGATCCCCCCGCTTCCTTCCTGCCCGCAGCGCTGTATAGCCTTGGGCCTTTTGCCTTTTTTTTTTATAATAATAATAATCTGGGGTGATGGTACCCTAGCTGCACGCGAATCCTTTCCCAGGGACATCATAAAATTAATGACATGGGAGAAAGCCTGGGCCTATCTTTAAACCCCACCCAAATGTGAAATATTTTCTACCAAATTTATGATTCTAAAATAGTGCTGTTTTAAAACCCGGGCAGGCCCTTGATCCAACCAATAGCACCTCCTTTTGTCTGCTCTTGGGGCTTTCAGTGCTGTATGACCTTGTGGTTTAAGCGCTTTTTGTTTTTTTTATAATCCTCTTGGGTCCCAAAGCCACGATCTGATCCAGATAAAAAAAAGTCACCTCCGGCGAGGGAAGGGAGGATAAAAATTGTAAACATGATCCCTTTTACCTACTCACCAGGTGCCTGTCAATCCCAAAACTTATCTACTTTCTGAGATGCTCCCCAGCCTTCATAGTCTAAACCAAGGAACGACTCCTTAGACCATCTAAGAGTATTATCTTCTTTTAAAATGGACATGGTTGCAATTCCCCCTTTCCCCTCAAGGGTTCGGGGGCTGGGGGTAGCGATCCACCAAATTTCTTACCAGCTTTCCCTTTCCCCTTTCCCTACACAAAAGA